CTGGACCCCTTGTAGGGGCATGTAGAAAATTGATATGGCAGGTGTAGTGCTCGAGGGCCAGCGTTTGTGGCAGGAGTTGGTTTGTTAGAAAACCATTTTTCTTCTAGCAATTTTCAAAGATGCTCCTTTAGAAGACCATTGTGTCCTTCCATGAGAACTGCTACCTGTGAGTGGGAGGTGTTATGAAATTTTCAAAGGATATTTCGTGATAATATCCATTGCTGAAGGGTATTAGAAGTAAAGTGTGCACCTTGGCCTGAGTTAGGTTTGCCTGGTGGACCAAAGGGCACCAGAATATGGTTAGTAAAAAATTGTGTTACCTGGTTGGCTGTGGCTCTTTGGGTCAGAGCATCCCTGAAATGTACCCAAAGTTGTTATGGAGTGCTAAAGCCTCCTGCAACAGGTGGTAACAGTCAAATAAAATGTATTGGCCAGTGTGCAAAGGAGAAATCCCCCCTTGAGAAGTGGCTCTATCGTGGCAGTTTTTATTGGCACGACTTAGCACAGGAAAAAGCACAGGAAAAATAATTTGGGCATTAGAACTTGCTTACAGAAGCAGAAAATTCGAATATTAATTTTGAGTCATTGACCAGATCCTGCTGTTACTGAAATCATGTTATATGTGGTACAGTTCAAAATCACAGCCACATATCAGATAAGAATCCCCTCTTCTTTCCAACGGGGGAAAGGAAAAGGGATCATTTTGAAATATGCCAGTGTATTATGTATGTTCCTTTTAAGAAGACCTGCCCTCAGGAGAAACTATCTAACCAGAACCTAACCTGCTGGGCTTCCATCAGAGCCTAAGTGAACAGGGGAAAAGGAAATACCCAGCTCCAGTCAGCTCCAGCCAGCTCCAGCCCTCCACATGAAGGAAAAGGAGCACTCAGCTCCAGCCCCCTGTACTCGTCCTGTCCCACCTAAGGGAGAGCGGCAATGAGAAGACTTGTGAATGTCCCAGGGCAGAGACACAGCCTCACTAGAAGCCTGAGGCTTAATCATAGGCTAGAGGGGCTTCCCCTCGCCCACACCACTTTACTAAAGCTGTATTTATAGCACTTTCTGTTACTCAGTACATCACACAAGGCTATCAAAAAAAAATTACAAGGCATAGAGAAGACCAAAAAGTTCAAAGAGACGAGCAAGCACCAGAACCGGGTTCGGTATGACAGGGATGTTGAAATTATCAGATGAAGAACCTAACACAACTGTAAGGAATATGTTGAGAACTGGTGGATAAAGTATACAGCATGCAAGAACAGACGGACCATGTAAGCAGAGAAGTGGACATTTTCAGGAAGAAAAAATAGAAACGCTAGAGATGAAAGACATTGTAACAGAAATGAATGCTTTTGATAGGCTCATCAGTGTGCTGGACAGAGCTGAGGAAAAAGCTCTAAGGATGAAGGTATCTCCTTAAGCACTTCCAAAAATGATAAGCAAAGTGAAAAAAGACCAGAAAACCACCAGATGAGAATATGCAAGAACCATGGGGCAACTGCAAAAATGTGCATGTAATGAGAATACCAGAGGGGAAGACAGAAAGCAACAGAGGAAAGATTGGAGATGATGACGACTGAGAGTTTCCTCAAATTAATGTCACACACTCAGCCACAGATTCAGGAAGGTCAGACAGCACCAGGCAGGATAAGTGTCAAAACAACAATTAAACTCCCCCCCCCAACCAAGAAACCACACATCACTACCTCTAGTCATGTTAGATTTAAACTATACAAAATTGAAGATAAATTAAAAATCCTGAAAGAAGTCAGGAAAAAACAACTTACCTCTAGAGAAGCAAAGATGAGAGCTACGTGTGACTTCTCTCTGAGAAGCCATGCATGCAAGATGAGACTGGAGTAAAATATTTAAAGTGCTGAGAGGAAAAAGCCCACCAGCCTAGAAATCTACTCTGGAACTACCCTTCAAAAGTGAAAAAGAAGGAGAGATGTTCTTACACAAGCAAAAGTTTTGAGGGAATCTGTTGCCAGTATACCTGTCTTGCAAGAAGTGTCTTAAAAAGTCGCTTAGAGTGGAGGAAAATAATATGTCAGAATCTTATATCTCTGTAAAGAAAAGAAAACATAAAAGAAGGAATAAGTTAAAGTAAAAACTTTTTTTTTGTCCTTCATTGGTCTAGTAGAACATCCTGTTCAAAATAAAAATGGCAACAATGTATTATAGATATGCTTACATGTATGTATATATACTGCTGCATGCTTATGTATAAATAAAATAAATTTATAACTAAAATGAATGTATAAATGAATGTAATGAATAAATGATACGAGGGACATACGGAGGAATTAGGATTCTTTTATTGTTATAAGGTACTCACACTACCCACGAAGCACTATAATGTTATTTTAAAAAAGGACTTGGAATAGTTGTAAATGTATATTGAAAACTCTGGGCAACTACTAAAAAAGCAAAAAATAAAACAAACACACAAACAAAAACCAAGTATAACCGACGTGCTAAGAGTGAAGAGGAAACAACGGAATCATATAAAATGTTCAACTGAAATCACGAAAGCCAGAGAAAGAGCGGAGGATAAAAATAAGACCAAAGGCAAAAAACTGAAACAGTAACAAAGACGGTAGATATTAATTCAAACTGTATCAATAATCACTTTGAACATCAGTGGTCAAAATGCACCAATTAAAAGACAGAGATGATTAGAGCGAATCAAAAAATGAGAACCAATTATGTGTTGTCCACAAGAAACCGACTTTAAATACAAAAACACATAAGGATTGAAGGTAAATGAATGGAGAAAGATTTACCATGCTAACACTAATAAAAAGAAAACAGGAGTAGCTGCATTCATTTTAGACAGAACAGACTACAGAGCAATGAAAGTTATAAGGGATAAAGAGGGACAGAACATCATGATGAAGGGTCAATTCTCCAAGAAGACATAACAATCCTTCATGTGTAAGTGCCTAACAGAGCATCAAACTATATCCCCAGAGAGTCACACTGGACAATGGTGCCCATGCAATTGTCGTCTAGGTGGGGAGGCAGATTCCTGGTGCTTCCTGCTCTGCCATGTTCCAGTGACCCATCACTTTTGCAGCTGTGATCGCTCTTCTGCGACCTGTTCCCCGTGCACTAGGTATTTCCACCCTAGAGAAACAGAGCTCCTGTGTAGAGTTTCCTCCCTCTTTTAATTGGTGCATTTTGACCACTGATGTTCAAAGTGATTATTGATACAGTTTGAATTAATATCTACCGTCTTTTTTACTGTTTCAGTTTTTTGCCTTTGGTCTTATTTTTATCCTCCGCTCTGTCTCTGGCTTTCGTGGTTTCAGTTGAACATTTTATATGATTCCGTTGTTTCCTCTTCACTCTTAGCACAATTGATTCCAATTTTCTATCCAAACACACACCTCTGTGAACATTTCCTATTTCGGTGAAGGACACTCACCACACACAGATGCTCACGGAGGATTCCCTGTCCTCATCTTGACTCTTCTCTTCTCTCGCGCCCACAGGCTTCAGCGAGTCTCGTGGTCTCTGCCTGCAGAGCAGATCCTGGACCTGACCCCATCTCTCCATCTCCACCTCCACTGCTCCCCCAGGTCCAGCCGTCACCATCCTCAGCCTCAAGTCACTGTCACAGTCTCCCAGCTGGTCTCTTCACTTTACCCTTTTCCCACATGGCAGATTCTGACCTTTGAATTTGAAATTGAAATTGAACTGTTTATTATGGTGACAGAACTCTCTATCACCTGTCCCCTGGTGGTCTTTACCCCCCTCTCTGGCCATGATTCACTGTGTTCAGGCCACTGAGCTGGCCCCTGGATTGTCCTCATATCCAGCACAGTCATGCCCACTTCAGGGACATCATCAGCTCTGCCCCCTCACCCTTCGGAGCTTTTCACCAGGTGTCCTCACTGCTCAGGTGACTCGCCCTCAGAGAGGCCTTCCCTGACTCCTCCTACCGAGAAAGCCCCTTGTTCCCACATCCGTCAACCCCCCCCATTTGTCTATTTATATTTCTGCATAGAACATGCCTCCTGAGGTACTAGGTCTTCTATTTAATATTAATGTTTAGTGTCTGCCTTTCCTCCCTAGAATGTGTGCAACTCAATCACTGGGACTTTCTGTCTCGTAGTCATTGCTGATTTCACACTAAAGCACAGCTTTGCTTCAATTTTGAGGAGAAGTCGTTTACGTTCTTGTGATGCTGTCACTGTCATTTATCTCATGTGGCCACCCCACTTAATCTAAGTGTCACTGGTTTATTATCTTCTACTATAACAATACCCAGTTTGTGCTCATTGTCCTATGGGGCCATATCATTTGTAACTAAAGGTCCTCACCGTGGACATCCCAGGTTTATGATGTGGGAGAGAAAGCCCTTGAGACTGTCCTCAGCTTTCCACTGAGGAATGGTCTTTGGTGAGAGAGAGAGGTGAGGGGCAGCAAAGTGGAGATGTCCCCAGATTGTTCAAGGGGGATTTCTACCTGGTTAGAAAACTCTCACTGCGGTATTCTTGCAGTGAAAGAAAACAATCTCCCACAATTTATCAATTTTGAATTTTAAAAAATTATTTAGCCATTATTATGTTGGAATATAAATAATATACATTTTTCCCCCTGCATAGTATTTAACTACATCCCAGAGAAGATCTATTATCTTCTCTTTTCTTCAATGAGTACATACTTTGGCAAATAAATTGTTCTACTTGTGATGTAAGACCGTGGGGATTGCAACCCAGAGAAACGCATTGTTATTGAGTACTAAAAGTCTTTAAGCTGCATATATTCTCAAATGTTAATTAAATTTTTATTTACAGCATAAAATATAAATTATTCACTTATAAGATTAATATAAATAATATTTACAAAACATTATCTTAAAAAATGTAGTCGGATGAAATTTTGATTTGAGTGAAAGATTATTCTGTTAATTACAGAGTTTTCTCACTGCTAGTGAGAGAGAATCAAACTTTCTTTGAAGATAAAGTCCCACATTTCTTGTCATATTCTAGGAAGTCCAACAGTCTTTAGATTTGGAGGAATCAACCGATGAAGCTGACTGCTGTGTCCAGCATGTGCAAGGGGAGGAATTTCAGCTCAGCGAGGGCTCCCCTGGATCCACCGGCCTCATCAACCCTCAGATGGACTTCAGGAATGGGGAATGCAGCCTGGCAGCTTGGATGGCCTGAGTGGAGGGGAGGGGACAGCTCAGCCACAAAACCCAGTTCTTGGCTCTTGGCCTCTTGGCAGGTTTGGAAAAGCTCCTTGTGAGTGGTGGTTCCCATGACATCTCCTAGGGACTGAAGCATGCCATTGTCTGTTCTTGTCTGTAGAGTTTGGATCTCTCTTCCTTTAGTTCCTGAACCCGGGAAGTTAATTCCTTTATCAGCATCAAGTTGGTCCCCTTCACACTTTTGTAACCATCTATAAGGCTGGGTATATTTAAAGAATCCTTCTCTTGTCTGGGGTTCTATGAAGATGACTCAGTCTCTCCATACTGCTTTTCATCTGCACTAAGCTTGTCAATAAGTTGGCATTTTTCCTGAATCTGAGCAGCCAGTGTTTCTGCAAGCTGCTTTTCTTGTCTTCGAACAGACTGAAGAAGTCTGGGTAAAAATAAAAGACCCACCAATAAGTTGATAACAGGTGGACGTGCCAGTGTCTCCCACTGCAGGCTGTGGAAAGTGAGCTGTGGACTCAGGCCATCAATCAATAGCTCCACCACCACCTCTCTTAGCTTCTTGAAGGTCAGCCCAAAGCCAAACTCCACAGAGGATCGCAGCCCCTCCATGGCACTGCAGCTACCGCAGGGCTCTGTCCCATAACTGTGGATCTGGCAGCCACGACAAACCCAGGAAACCCCTCAACATTCCACCAGGAACTCAACCAATAACAGGGAGCCTGGACTAGTAACCTATACGATCGGGCTGAAGGAGGGTTGGGAGATTAGTAAATAAAATGGGTTTGTCTCTGTTATTGTCTCGTGATCATTCTTCTTTACCTGCTTTTTATCAATATAAAATTAAAATATTGTGAAATGTGCTCATCTTAAGTGTAAGAATTGAAAAGTTCTCTAAAACTCTCCTCCCTTTGTCCTGCAATCCTATCAATGTACGGATTATATGCATTAAGACAGAAAACACCCCCAGTAACTTTTCAATGACACCCTGACCATGTGAAACTTCAGCTTTGGTTTCTATTAACATACATCAATTTGGTCTAAACATCATAGAAATGGAATAACACAATATACACTTCGATCTCTGCCTTTTTTGCTCAAACTAACATTTTTGAAATCTATTCCTGTTTTTGTGTGGATAAGCGGTTTACCTACTTATGTTTGAGTGACACAATGATGACATTACATGAATATAACACAAAATATTTTATTGACATGCATTTAGGTTGCTTCAAATGTTGAGTATTGTAAATAAAGATATTGTGGATATTCATGCACATATTCTTTTTCTTTTTCTTTTTTTTTTTTTTTTTTTTACATATCCTTTTTATAAACATGAGTTTTCATTTCTCCTGAGAGAAGAAGTGCTGAATTGGTGTATGCTAAATACATTTTTTGGAACAGCTTTATGAAGCCATAATTTACATGTCTGAAAATTTGCCCATTAGATACACAACTTACTAAGTTTAAAAAATTCTACAGAGTTGTAGAGCCAACACAATCCCATTTTAGAACATTTCTGTTACTCCAAACAGATGTCTCTAACTTTACTCTTGTGGCTGCATTTGACACCGTCCATCTCTCTTCTTGAAATCCTTGCACTACTTTGCTTCCAGCTCATTACATTCTACAGGTTATCCTCTTCATGATCACACCGGTTAGTCCATTTGTTTTCTGTTTTTGGTTTCTATTTTTCTCCAACCTCTCACCACTAGTTTTGACCCAGGAGTTGGTTTTTGAACCTCTGTATTTATTTACACATTCTGAACCTTTCCATTCAGTCCAGAGCCACACCAGCTTCCACAACATCCTCATGTCAACATCTTATACGCCAAAATCAAACTATAGACTCCCTCCACTGAACCCACTCTCCCTCAGTCCCCCTTTTCTGTGAAAGTAGCTCTATCCTGACAGGTGTTGATGCTCATGCTCTGTGGTTTTTCTGGATTGCTCCTTTTCTCTTTTCTTATTCCATCCCCAGCTTCAGAATAGGTCTGCATTTGATTGCTTCTCTGCCTCCACCTATTCCACCTGTTTAGGGCTAACATCATCTCTTGACAGGACAACTGTGGTGCCTCCTAACCAAGCTCCTTCTCCGGCCCTCACCCTTGGAGTCTGGGGTTCTGCCAAAAGGAGCTCAGAAATTACCACTCCATACTAAGAAAATATAAACAGATGAAAAATCAACAACTCTTTTTAGATTTATAAAATAATTAAGGTCACAGGGCAAACTGTTGCCCTCAAAATTGGAGAGACAGAAAAGCAGGTAGAGAGAATACTTGTCTATTTTTGCCACCAATCCTTCTCAACTCTTCCAAAAAAGTGAAAGGAAGAAATGACTTCTGAACTCATTTTAGAAGGCCAGCATTATCTTGATACCAAAGCCAGACAAGGACACTACCAGAAAAGAAAATTGCAGGCCTATCCCTGATGAACATACCTGCAAAACTCCTCAACAAAATGCTAGCAAACCAAATTCTGCAACACACTAAAAAGGATTGTTCACCACGATGAAGTGAGATTTATCCCAGGAATGCAAAGAGAGGCCAACATACACAAATCTGTAAATGTGATACACCACATTCACTGAAAGAAGGACAAAAACCATATGATTATTTCAATACATGCAGAAAAACATGCTTCCAACAAAACATACTTTCATGACAAAAACTCAAAAAAGGTTAGGTATAGAAAGAATGTACTAGAATATAATAAAGGCCGTATATGACAAGCCCGCAGATAGCATCATACTCAGTGAAAAGTTGAAAGCTTTTTCTGTCAGATCAGGAACAGAACAAGGAAACCCATTCTCACCACTCGTGTTCAGCATGGTGCTGGATGTCTCAGCCAGCACAGTTAGGCAACAGAAAGAGATAAAAGGTATCCGAATCAGAAAAGGAGTTAAATTGTCCCTCTTTGCAGATGCTGTAATCTTATATTTAATAATCTCTAAAACTCCACCAAAAAAAGAAAAAGTTAGAACTAATAAAAAAATCAGTAAAGTTGCAGGATCAATGTACAAAAGCAGTTAAGTTTCTACACAGAAACCACTATCCAAAAAAACTCAAGAAAAACATTTATTTAAAATAGCTTCAAAAAATAATATACTTAGGAGTAGATTTAACCAAGGAGGTGAAAGATGTGTATACTGAAAACCATAAAACATTGATAAAAGGAATTGAAGATGAAACAAATATATGGAAAGTTAGCTCATGTTCACACATTGGAAGAATTAATATTGTTAAAATGTCCCATACTACCCAAAGCAATCTATAGATTAAATGTAATTCCTATCAAAATTCTCATGTCATTTGTCACAGACATACAAAACTCAGTCCTAGAATTTATATGAAATCACAGAAGACCATGAATAGCCAAAACAATCTTGAGCAAAAAGAGCAAAGTTGGAGGTATCATACAACTGACTTCAAACTATATTACCAAGCGTTAGTAATTAAAACTGTAATGGTACTGGCCAAAAAACAGACACATCAACCAAAGGAACAGGATAGAGAGCCTAGAAATAACCCCATTATCTGTTCTTGGCCAGTAGGGGATCCAAAACCTTGAACCACACACTAACTAACTGAGCTAATTGGCCAGCCCTGTGGAGAAGACCTTCTAGATTTTCAGTTACCCTGATATGCAATCTTAGGGAGGCTGTGGACTACATTTTAGGTAAGATACTGAGGTACCATGAAAAAATAATCTGGATCTTTTCCAAGCCTCTGGATAAAATGTACAGTCTGATTCCAAGTAGCCTTTATTCCTTTTCATCTTTACGTGGTTGCTTTTGGGGGTTCCTGAGACCTGGGAGCACTGATTGGGGCCAGGGGCCCAAAGTTCAAGTGACTGTAGCGAATTGAGGGGATGGGGATGGAACTGGAGGGGAATGTTTGGCACGGGTGGACAGAAGGGCTGAAGAGGTAGTGGCACAATGGAGGACATGTCGAAGGATGCGAGTGTGCTACAGGGTACATCCAGGGTGGTAAAAGGAAGAGGGAGAAGCTGAGGTTATGGGAAAGGAGGAGAAAGTCTGCAGAGATTTTAAATTTCCCTAAGAACCCATTGAATTTCCAATTTATCTTTAGCAAAATCATACAGACAAGAAAGGAAGCGCACAGAGTTTGCACCGTAGTGGTTAAGCATGTGCAAATGCTTAAAATTATTTCAAATATAAAAAATTAATTACATATTTAAAAAATATATAAATATATATAAGATTTATATATATATAAGATTTGCAGAAAGAATTCAGTGATAAAGGTAGTGCATCAATACCCAATAGGGATAATCCTAGGAAATGAAGGCTATGTCATTATTTTAAACATGAATATAATTACCATATTAGCAGAATTAAGAAAAACAGTATGAATATTTCAGTAGATGCAGGAAAATGATAGGACAGAATTCAACTTCTTATCATAGTGAATACTCTCAGTGTACCAGGAACAGAATGGAAGTTCTATAATCCGCTAAAGGGGATCTACAAAAAAGCCTATAGTTAACAGCCCACTTAATGGTAAAACACTGCCCTTGAGATCTGGACATTGACAAGGACACCCTTTGTCTCTCCACATTCAGGCAGGATCCTTGGGTGGTGGCCCAGGAGGGACATGGTGACCAATCACAGGGACACCTGCAGTGAAGCGAACTTAGAATGGGCCTCGAGGCCCACGTGGGAGGCACGGACAGCTATCCCCCGCAGAAGCCGGCTTGCAAGCACGACTTCAGAGAAGAGGCGACCAATCGGAACGCCCCCTGGCCTAGCGCAGGTCACGTGGGCCTCTGCCTGGTGGGCCAGTGAGGACAGTGGCTCAGGTGGGGACCTGGGGCTGCCTCGCCGTCCTGGGCCCCCGACCTTCCCTGGCGGCCCCATCTCCTTGGATCCCCCCATCCCACGTCCCTGGGGGGCCTCTCTCACCTGGACCCTGCAGTAACGTGCTTCGGTGAGTTACAGTTGAGCGAATGTTCTTGGCTCTGTGCCTTTTTTTTTTTTCCTGCGTATTCTCCTCGTTTTTTTGTTGGGTCATTGTGTTTTTCTTAGGTTGATGCGAAGAAGTTCGAAGATATTCCATAAGCTAATCCTTCATCGGTTCATTTCCTTTGGAGATATTTGTTTCCTACTCTGGTCCTTTTATTTATTTTATTTTGTATTTCTTTCCTGTTGGTACAAAGTAAACCAATTGAGTTTATATATTGATTTCATATTCCGTAGTCTAACTTAATTCGCTTAGTAATTGCCATAATTTCCAGATTTTGGTGGGTTTTCCATGCATTTAAAAGTGTCAGCCATATATAATAACAGATATCGATCCTCAAGCCTTTACCTTGCTTTAGTGTCCTATTATACACCTCCAAGATAATGTTAAATAAAAATGGTGTGATCAGGAAACCTGTGTGGTTGATTCCAGAGAAAAGATCACAATAATTCTGTATTAATTATGTTGCTTGTTATAGGTTCATTTTAGACAAACTTGCTGAGAGGTTTCTTTTTCTTATGACTAATTGCTGACTTGTAATAAATGCTTTTTTCCATTCATCATAAATAATCATACGATTTTCTGCTTTTATTTTTTGCTAATCAGATATTTTACATGATCTGTTTTTGAATGTTGACCACTCTTGCATTTTTTAGTACATCCCATTTGGTATCAATGTATTATGTTTTCATATATGGCTTAATTCATATAATATTTTTCTTAGAATATTTATACCTCTATTGATGAAAGAGAGTGTATATAATTTTGTGTTTTTTTAAATGTCCTGATTTGATAGTGCTATCAGTGTAACGCTG